GAGATGAATCCCCAGCAATCAGCCTTCCCTGGTGAAGACATCCCTTTCAAGTGTTATGCAGTAGTTCCTCTTTGTTCCCAACTTCTCCATTCCAGAGTAGGAATTTGGCTTGATTTCAAATAACTAAAAGCTTCTCAAAGTGCTTTCCCAAAATAAAAGAGCTTTTTCCCCCTTCTGATGAATTTTCCTCCACCCTACCACAATCACAACAAAAAACACTGCTTGCCTAAATAGTTTGTGACTCCTCTTTGTCACCAACATTTCAGAAATATCCATGCCAGGTCACAAAGCATGTAATATATACACCAGACCTTATGGTTTGCAGCGCATTTTTGTGAGCTCCATCTCCCTTCCCTGTTGAGGCTGGCTGGTGAGGGGGCCCAAGTCATGTGCAAGAAGCTGCTTTTCGGGTCCCCACTGTTTTGCTCTGAAAAGAGGAAGAACTCAGCAAAACCCAGAGTGATGTTTGCCATCTCTAATTGTAGCTCCGGCTACCAAAATGTTAACTTGTGGTTCCAGGGAGGTATTTTCCTAATCATCATAAAAAGTAGCATATATCTCTTCATCTGTCTTTCCCTCAACGAGGCCCAGAAATTCTCTCAAACTCAACAGGGAGAATTTGGGTGATTTTCTACTCTTTTGGTAATGAGGGCAAGGTCAGTTTGGCTTTTTCCTTTAGGGGAACAATCTGTGTCCTTGTTGTGACAGCTAGAGAAAGCTGAATAGAAAGATGTTTTTTCCAGAATGTGTGCGGGAAGAACGTCTTGGCTACCATGTCAGCCACTGTTCATTCATTCATTTGACCAACTATTTCTGAGCAATCGATATGAGCAAGGCACTAGCCTAGCCAATGGGGCCACAGGGATGAGTAAGACATGAGACCTACCCTCAGGAAGTTTGCAGTATGATTAAGACCCAAATGAGGCAAAATAAAATTCCGATGTGACATAACGAGTGATGAGAATGGGGAAGGCATGTGTACAATGCTTTCTAGGCAGCAGGGAGGGTTCCCTAACCTGGACGGATAGAGGAAGTGGTTAGGCACAGCTTGGCAGAACGGAACTGGCATTGGTGATAAAATACCAGTCATAGTTCTCTCTCTTGGAATGCACAAATGGAGGACTCTGCCTGTCCTTCCAGAAGTTTTGGTTGTAGCCCAAGATTAGCTGAAGGCCACTCATTTTGCAATTCTGAACGGGCCATAGGAAAGCTCATGTATGAGATTCCTTCTGGGTCTCTTGGCCTGAGATTCGAGGGTATTTCATTCTCAGGGAAAGGGAGATCAACCTTTAGACAGAAAGCAGCAGACCAGGAGACCAACATGCCCACTGGAGTCCTTGGTTCTAATGTCCCTGAGCCAATGAATCCCTGTGTGCCTTGACGTAAGCTCTTTAACCACAGGCGACTGCCTCAGCATCCTGTTTGGAAAAGAAGCGATAAGCAGTGAGACTTCCTCTCCAGTGGCCAAAAGACTTGGGAATTGGGCTGTTGTTTTGGGTCCCTGATTGGTGTGAGGGAAACAGTAATGCTTTGTTGAGCATGCCTAAAATGCCGATGTTAAGAGTGACTGTGGATGGGAGAAAAGGGGACATCCTAATACTTTCAACAATAAAGATAAATTTAAAAATAATAATAAATAAAATAAAGACAGGAAAAAAAAGACTGTGGAATGATTGAGATTTATGGAGATAAAAATTACAAAATGTCCTAGCATGATTTACATTGAGGGAAAAGGCAAAAAGATACCTAAAGTACAGTACATTCTTAAGATGAAAATTAAACCATGTGTTAAAAGACAACATAGCATGGGCGTGGCTCCTCGGTTGAACGTGGACTTAGGATCCAGGCGATCAGGGTTCGATTCCTGGTCAGGGGACATGCCCTGGTTGTGGGCTTGATCAATGACTCTCTCGTCATTGATGTTTCTGTCTCTCTCTCTCCCTTCCTCTCTCTGAAATCAATAAAGATATATTTAAAAGAGAAAAAAAAAGACAACATAAAGCCAGGCTGAGCGTGGCTCAGCAGTTGAGCATCGACCTAGGATCCAGGAGATCGCAGTTCGATTCCCAGTCAGGGCACATGCCCAGGTTCCTGGCTTGACATGCAGGAGGCAGGCAATCAATGACTCTCTCATCACTAATATTTCTATCTCTCTCTCTCTCTCTCTCTCCCTCTTCCTTCCTCTCTCTGAAATCAATAAAGATATATTTAAAAAAAAAAAGACAACATAAAAAATGTAGATACAAGTCAATACCATAGAAGAGAATATTTTTTTTAAGGAGCTTTATTTATTTATTTTTATTTTATTTATTAACTTTTATAATCCTCACTTGAGGATATTTTTTCTATTGCTTTTCAGAGAGAGTGGGAGATAGAGAGAGAGACACAGAGAGAGAAACATCGATGTGAGAGCACCCCGACCGGGGTTATGTGCCCTTGACCAGAATCAAACCCGAGAACCTTCAGTCTGAGGGCTGACACTCGAACTACTAAGCAAACTGGCTAGGGTGAGAGAACTTTTTTCAAAATTGTACGAAGCTATTGACAGCCAATTAAAAAACCCCTGACATTTGTGTGAATCTTAGAAATGGTCAGGATTTCTTTCTAATCATAGCTAAAATTGTCCCAAGGAGATGAGGATCTGACAAATGTCCTTCCATTGTGGTCACCCTCATTACCCACAGTTAGCTTTAAGAGAAAAAGAAAATTAAGGTTTCCTGAGTAAGAGCCCAGCCCAAGAGCCTTAAGGCAGAGAAGACTGAGCTGCAGAGGGCAGATAGGTAGGTACTGGCATCCTCCATTCCTTTCACTTTGTGTTCCTCCAGCTTCCAGGGAGCATAATTTGAGCCTGTCTGGAGATCAGCACTGTGCGAAAGCCTCGTCCTTCACTCCTGAGTGAAAGGAGGAAGGGGAACTTGATCACTTGCAGAAAAACAAAATGTATCAAAGTCTGTGCCAGTTGTTTGAAAATGTAGCCTGTCTGCTTGTGGGGAAAATTATAACTAATTTCTATTTAACCCTACTGTGGGCCAAGTACCCCCTAAGTCTTCTGCATGCAGTCTTCTTCCTCACAGCTAATGCTTTGAGGTATATGCTATGATTATTCTCATTTTACTGATAGGTGTGGAAACTGAGGTATGGAAAAGTTAAGCAACTGGTCTAGCCATGAGGGATTCATGATGCCCAAGACACCCACCCTACCCTCCAAAACTGTAAGTGACAGACCAGGAATTTGATCCCATGTCCTGGTGGCTCCAGAGCCCTTGCCATTGACCATTACAACAGTGTTTTTTCAACCAGGGTGATTTTAAAAAAATATATTTTTATCGATTTTGAGAGAGAAAGGAAGGGAGAGGGGGACAGAGAGAAACATGGATTCGAGAGTGGAACATTGATTGGCTGCCTCTTGCAGGCCCCCTACTGGGAATCGAGCTGCAACCCAGGAATGTGCTCTGACCTTGGAATCGAACCGGCAACCTCATGGTGCACTGGAGGATGCCCAACCAACTGAGCCACACCAGCCAGGGCCTACCAGGGGTGATTTCATCCCCCCAGGGGACATTTGGCAATGTCTGGAGACATTTCTGGTTGTCCCATCCAAGTGGGAGACTTCTTTCTAAAAGGTGGGCAGAAAGACAGGAGCAGACAAAACCTAAGGGGAAAAAAAAAAGAGAATAGAGAAGGCAAGACCAGGCAAGACCCCAAGATGGCGAACCTCAATTGCAGGGGCAGACCAGGAAATAATACGCAGGTGACATGCACACTCAACTGTAAGGGGCAGAAATAGAATTGGGGGGCACTAGCCGAAGTTATAAGAAATATCAATCATGCCCTGTTAACCGTGATTGTTCTATTCTAGTTAGAGGAAGCACATTCTAACCTGGCTGAGAGCTGTACCCCCCAGGACACAGGAGTTACCTTTGAAATGATCCATTTTCCCGTTCCGAGAACTGCCCATCACCACGGGAAGCAATGGCGTCCCAGAGGCACCAGCCCTTAGTGACCCCCAGCCCACATTGCCGGTAACTTGTTAGCATTATACCTTGCCTACTTCCCCACGCCTGAAATTCCTACTTTCCTATGTAATCTTTGTCCGTCTACTCAATATAAGCTGCTGGCTTGTCGGGGGGGAGGGGGTGTTAGAGAAGATTTTACGTGGATGGATCCTGCTGCTCTCCCAAATTGCTGGCAATATTGGAATAAACTGTCACATTAAAGTCAGCCCTGTCTCTGCTTAACTGGCTGAAGCAGTGAGGGGCAGCCAGCACCCGGTCCCGGTCCAGTTTCACAGCAAACTGCGCGGCCACGCCCTGCCTGCTGTTCGGAAAGGACCCAGGTAGGGCCTACAACTTGTCACGCTCACCGCAAGGCCGCTGGAGATTTCCATCTGTGTGATGAACTTGCTCCGGAGCACCATGCTCACCACTGAGGACTTAGTTTTACTAAGCGACGGAAGACAAATTTTAAATTTCTCCCAATTCTCCCAAGTCGGGGAAGAGAGGCCAGCATGGAAGCCCACACACCATCCCCAAGGCTTGGGGCACACGGAGACCTTGATGCGTCTTACCCGCTTGGCCTACTCACGGACGAAAAGTGCATTGAAACGAACTCCGGAGGCCCGAAATAGGAAAGAGGTCCTTTTAAAGAACAGGTATAAACAGTAATCCACACAGGTTAACACAGACACCAGTAGCAAAGGTAGAAATAAATATCTACCTCCCCACCTGAACTAGTCCTTTTTAGGTTGGGGCGACAATTAGCGGCAAAGTGTTGCCTCCCCAGGTATTCAGCCTCTGAGGAGCCATCGCAGGACCGTCCCCTCACCACAGGGGCTGAGGGAGCCGACCGGAACCTTCCCAGCGCGCTCTTCCCGCCCCGGTTCCCGCTCCAGCTCAGGCCCCGCCCCCGCAGGACGTGGGCCCGCCCCTTCCGGCCCCGGCCCCGCCCACGCAGGGCCCGCCTCCTCCCGTCCGGGTCCTCCCCGCAGCTCCCGCGTGCACTGAAGATGGCGCTCGTAGCGGGAAGGTTGCTCCGGGCTACGGTGAGTGGCTGCCGGCTGGGAACCAGCGCGGAGACGCTGTGATGGCTCCGAGAACGTGCTTCCCAGACGAAACCCCACTCCTCTGCAGTCTGGGGGATTTCGCTCTTCTTGGAGGGTGTCGGCGGGTAACGGACCCAGGGGCGGCCTCCTCTAGGGAGGGCTCCGTGCGCCTGCGCAGGACCGCCCTTCCCCCCCACCGTCTGTTCTGGGTCCCCTCCCCTCCTCCCTCGGATGGCTTGTCCCCAGTCCTGTCGCCACCTGAGCACATGGTCCTCGACCCGGAGGCGGGCGACCTGCCGCCCGGGCCCGGTTCTGTACCCGACGCTCTGACCTTGGAAAGGGACTTCGCCTTTCCGAGCCTCAGTTCACCTTCCTCACCTTAAGGTGGAAAGCGTGGTGCGGACCCCGAGGCGTGGCCGTGAGCATCCGCTGACTGCCGGGTGGGAACCAGAGTGCTAAACTGCAGAAGGCACTTACCTCCCACCCCACTCCCCAGGTCCGCCCCTCCGCTTTTCTCCCGGCCGAGCCTAGCACCCCTTGCTACCCACGCGCCCCTTTCTCACGGCCGGGTTCAGCGCAGGCTCTTCCTGAGTCATGCTGGACACCGAAATTGAGCAAACGTTCCCCTTGAGCCCCAGCCAAATCTCCCTGGAGGCTGAACTTTGCTCCACTTGTTTGCTTGTCTGCGGGACTGGAAGGGCCTTGTCTTTTCTAAGGAAAGCCTTGGCAGGGCGGGTTGCCTCGGCATAGCGTCCTGGCAGAAAGGCTTAAATACATGGGGCCTTGCCAAGTCCCCTTGGTTTTTGAACCTTCTGTGCTGCTTTTAAGAGCATGGAGTCTTTATGGACTTCCCCTCCGCCTTGCAGTCTTTATTTATTTAAATGAAAATTATATATGTTTAAAATGTACAACATGATGATTTGATATGCATATACTTAATTGACTATTACAGTCAAACTACTTAGCATCTCTTCCCATACTTACCTTTTCGCGTGTGTGGTGAGTGCACCTGAGATCTGCCGTCCTGGCTATTCCCAGTGTTCAGTACAGCGTTGTTCACTAGAGGCATCATGCTGTGCATTAGCTCTCTAGACTTCATCCTACATACCTGCAACTTTGTATCCTTTGACCAGCATCTCTTGCAGTCTTGAAGGAGAAGGAAGCAGAAAGGGAACATTAGGAGCATGGAGATGCAATCCATGCTCTTAAAGAGTTTTGGGTTTGGTATTTGGTCCATAGGAACAAGCTGAGGCCACCGTTGGCTTACTCCCTTTCGGCAGGGCCAGCCTTTAGCCACCATTCTGGGGCTACTTCCTAATATAAAGTGTTTCTCTTACCAGGTTGCCCGACACGTGAGCACCATTCCTTGGGGCATCTCTGCCTCTGCAGCCGTTAGGCCTGCTGCTTCTCGGAGAACATGCTTGACAAATGTATTGTGGTGTGCTTCCAGTCAAGCAAAATTTGCCTTTAGTACCAGTAAGTGTTATGCCTTGTTTTGACCCAACTAGTGAAACATGAGTCATGATCTCTGGGCAGGGGCTCTGAACCCTGCCTCTACATTAGACTCACCTGGGCTCCTTTTAAAAACATACCCAGCCCCAATCCCACCCCAGACAAATTAAGTCAATCTCTGGAGTGAGACTGGGATGTCAGCATTTTTTTTAAAATCTCACCAAGTGATTCTAATGTGTAGCCAGAATTGAAAATCACAGGCAGACTGCCCTTGTGTCTTATTTCCTTGTTGGTTACCAGAGGTTTTAATCCTGTGTTCAGCATGGGTGGAGGGTGGGGGAGAGATGACTCAGACCCCTTCTGTGGCATGAAGGGGTGTGAGGTAAGTGGGAGTGGCATGCAGCCTGTTGGGAATTGAGGCTTTTGGATTCAAACTTGTGTGCAGGCTCCAGTTGGCTACATTATCCCATGGACTCTTCCATGATCTGAATGAAGCATAGCTATTTCTTGAGATTTACACTTCAGTTTCTAGAATGTGGGCTTTGCGGAGATCAGCCTGAGATAACCAGTGGTGTTTGAAAATGCCTCCTTTAGGTTTGTCTCACCATTTAAAAAGCTTGTCATGGTTTAGGGGATATACTTTGGCAAAGCCGTTGTTTACAGGTGAAATGTTCTAAAAAGTTTTACCACCCTGGAGCATTAAAAATTTTCTAGTGGTGATTTGATGCCACAGATTTAAAACTTTCCTTGTTACTGGTCCCAAACTCCTACTCCCAACAGCTCCTATTGTTTCTGAGACCCAGGCATCTCACATGTGATCCCTTTTGTCTCTCGATCTCCTTTGTTCCTTGTTCCCAGACAGAAGTCCTCTCCAGCTCTGACACATCTCCTGAATTCTTTCCTTGCTTCCTGGTCTCTCTGCCACACCCTCCCCTCCATCTCACTCAGATAACAAATCTCCTCCTAACACCAGTCTCCCCTCCTCCGGCTCCCTTACCCTCCCTCCCGCCACACTAATCTTCCTAAGAACAGCCTGCTCATCTTCCGTCTCCTACACGAAAACCTCCAGTGACTCCTTTATCTCTTTTAAGAACAAACTCACCCTGCTGCTGAAGGGCCCTCCCGGCATGGTCGTCAGCCATTCTTGCCTGGCCTGCCACTCTGCTGCCTTCCACACACACCTGTTCTCATCACACTGCCATGGCTGTTCTTCACACTTTGCCCCACACTTGCTCTCTTTCTTCCTCCATGCCATTTGCCCTGTCCCGTCCGGATCAGGCAGAATCTGAAACACATTCAGGATCCATATCCAGTCTCATGTCTTCCTTAAATCTGATTGCATTCCTACCATCTTCAGCCATCTTTTTAGTTTCCATAGCACTTTCAAGTGAATTTGTGTACAATCTAGAACTATGGGAGGGAAATAATTTAAGATGTACAGTTGAACTGAATCTTTTAATTTATACTAATTAATTATTATACGAGGTTTAAATAAAATCAAATAGGTGTTTGTTTTAGCAAATGATGAACTCTGTACACCTGTGGATTTTTTCAGGTTCGTCATATCATACTCCTGCCGTCACCCAGCATGCACCCAATTTTAAGGGTACAGCCGTTGTCAATGGAGAGTTCAAAGAACTAAGCCTTGATGACTTTAAGGGGAAATATTTGGTGCTCTTCTTCTATCCTCTGGATTTGTAAGTGTCATTTCTGCGATGCTTTAATGTCATTCTGAAAGTAACCAAAGATCCCTGCTTGCACGCTGACATTGCCTGTGTCTAGTTAGGCTTCTTGTCAAGGGAAGCGTTCTTTCTGAGCCTTTATCACTGACGGCCTTGTTGGTACAGCTTGCATCTGTGGCTAATTTACAAGTGACATTTAGAGGATGGAGCAGCATTCTCTTAATGTGGTAGGGTTTTAGTAAGGCGGTTTATATACTCTGGAGTGGTGGTTCCTGCAAGCCAGTCTATGAGGAAGTTTTCGTTGGTCTGGAAGAAAATGAGAAAAGTAAAGATAATGAGTTTTCTTATAAAGCTACTTGATTGATTGATTGATTGGTTGGTTTTAGAGAGAGAGAGAAATATTGACTTCTTGTTCCACTTATTTATGCATTCACTGGTTGATTCTTGTATGTGCCCTACTGGGGACCCAACCTGCAACTTTGACATATTGGGACTATGCTCTAACCAACTGAGCTACCTGACCAGGGTAAAGCTACTTTATTTAAATAAAGTTCTTTATTCTTAGAATATCTCCCCCTCCCCCTGTTTTTGGATATGATTCTTAACTAGAAAGGCGAGTCCAGTAAGGGTGGTTAGCCATTTGCCTTTTACACCTTTGAGCAAATTAGTTTTTAGACTGCCTATTGTGCAGATTTTAAATCCTTGTTTTTAAATTCTCTGATGAGAATTTCTGCCCTTTTTCTCTAGCACCTTTGTGTGTCCTACAGAAATTATTGCTTTTAGTGACAAAGCCAATGAGTTTCATGATGTGAACTGTGAAGTTGTCGCAGTTTCCGTGGATTCCCACTTCAGCCACCTCGCCTGGATCAACACACCAAGGAAGGTACAAACATTGTTTGCCCTGCCTTTGTTCCCATGATCTTAAAAATGGAAAAGATCCTACCTAAGACTAACCTGGAAGTTGTTAAAGCATGACTAGTCTGAAATGGGCTGTTTCACCTACTGGCAGATTCTGTTAAGCTATGCCTGTATCTTCCTTGGCACTGCGTTGCATGCATACTTACTCCCCACTACACGTGTACTTTCCAGGGTACAAACCATAATGGAGAGCAGGGCCCACAGGGCGGGGGAACAGCTGGGTCTGTGGCCTCCCCTCTCGCCAGTACCCTGTAGATCCCATGTACCCTGCATGGCTTGTGGGATGGTGGTTAGGTTCTCTGATTTCAGTGTTCTGCATGATTGGTGTTTTTGTGGGAGAATCAATCAAAATTTTGAGCTAAGCTGCTCGACAATCGGTAACAAATTATTCAGTTTTTTCATACTCTTCCATTTCTATGCTTCAGAAATTAATCTTCAACTAAATACATGCTACAAGGCATGTATTATAAAAAAAAGTCCTGGCTGGGTACTCAGTTGTTTAGAGCATCCATTCTGCTACAGTAAGGTTGCAGGTTCAATTCCTGGTCAGGGCACATACAAGAAGCAGCCAACAAATGCATAAGTGAGTGGGACAACAAATTGATGTTTCTCCCTCACAAGTCAATATTAAAAAAGAAAGAATTAGGAAAAGAAAGGTCTATAGTATTAGCTGGGTTTAAACTCTGCCCCTGTCCTTTTCTAGCGGTGACCTGGAGCAAGTTACTTCACCTTTGTGTGCTTCAGTTTCCTCATCGGTAAATAGGTGGTGATAGTAGTATCTACTCCAGGATAGTTAGGAAGAGGAAGTGATTTAGTGGAACCGAGAGCAGAGCTTTGCCCGGGGTTGGTGCTATTACTGCTACCTATTGCCATTACTGTTCATCTCAGACCTCGAGTTACCTGGCCAAGAGTGTTGTGAGAGTGCACAGATAACCATTTGTGTTTGCATTTTTATTAGAGTGGCGGTTTGGGCCATATGAACATTGCACTGTTGTCAGATTTGACTAAACAGATCTCCAGAGACTACGGTGTACTGCTAGAAGGTCCTGGTATTGCACTAAGGTAAGGTCCTGTTCCTTACGAACTTAAAATTGTGTTTCATGTTTAGCATCATCCCACTTCTTAGGGAATTTACAGAGACATTTGTAGAGGCCTTGGTAAAGCATTTTGAAAACAAAAAATCCTTAATTTTAGCATTTACTAAGCACCGATGAATGCCTCCTGCAAGGGCTGAAAGTCTTTCAGAAATGGCCTAGACATGTTTGCCCCCCACACCACCCTGCGTCCCCTTCTGAAGAAGGATATGTGTCCTGATGGTCACACTGCTCTGCTCTTTCTAGCTGTCTGAGAGCCACTTTCATGGGGGGGCACATTCCTGGCATCTTTGGAGAAGGGGGACTAGTAGGGTAGGAGTCAGCATCCCGGAATGGGTACGATCTCAGATAACCCTGGAATTGGAAACAGCCAGAGTATTTATTTATTTATTCATTTCTTTATTTTTTAGCTCGGCTCCTAAGTAGCTGTATGTTTAACCTCTTTGAGTCCCAGTTTTTTCATAACTAAAATGAGAATGTACCTCCCAGGTTGGTTGTGAAGACTAAGCAAGATGAGGCAGCTGAAGTTTTTAGCACAGGTCCTGGGAGCTGTCATGACCTTTGTCTCAATGTCATTTCTGTCCTCATTGATTCTGTGGTTAGACCTTTAAATGTGAAAGCTGCTTTCTGTCTTTTACAGTCCCACATTCAAACACAACCTCTGTGGGAGGGGTGAGAACTTACCGGCATCTTGATGGCCACCGAGTGGAGGGATGGGATTGGGTGGAACTTGTCCTCCAGGAAGCAGGCAGGGATCGAATTTTGGTATGGTTCATAGCTTTGCCGGGGGCCAGCTTGAACCTGCTCACTGGACCTGCCTGGTAGCTGACCTCTAGCCTGCCTTCCTCTTGTGCCACCTCTGGCCTGCCTTCCTCTTGTGCCACCTGGAATTTGAGCTCCGGGCGCCGCCTTGGAGCTTGGGCCTCTTTTACTCCAGGGAGATGACTGCCTTCCTTTCGTAGACTAAAGCCTGGCCTTGACACTGGGCGAGGGAGAAGGAGAAGAGTGCTGGCTGTTTCCTCCCAGGATCCTTCCCTGTCCGCTCTGCCTAATTTTGCAGTTACCTCCCTATGTGTTTCACTGATAGGACTGATGAGGGAAAGGAGCTGAGTCTGGCTTAGATAAGGCTTGCTTTCTGGGGTTGGTGGGCCCTGCTCCATCCTAGCTTTGTGTCTGCACCTACCCTGCGGACTCTAGTGCGCCTCAGCAGCAGGACCCTCTGAGTCTCAAAGCCTAGGTCCCCAAGGGCCAGGCCCAGGGATGGAGAAGCACCTTTCTATCTTGTGAGTTTTCTCTAATTTACCTTTTCCACAGTGATTAACACTTGGCATGCCATACCCTTTTAAGAGAGATTGTTAAACCTGTGCTTTAAATATATCTGCATATATCATAGTGACACCAGCACTGAAGAGGAACACAGAGCACAGGGCAGGTCATCTTGTTACATAGCTGCCAAGTGGTAACAAGTGATGAGTTTGGTTCTTCCTTTATTCATTTATTTGTTTTAAAATTTTTATTGAATTTGTTGGGCGACATTGGTTAAAATTATATAGGTTTTATGGGGGGGATAAATGGTGATGGAAGGAGACTTGACTTTCAATGATAAACACACAGTACAATATAATGATGATGCATTATAGACTTGTACACCTGAAACCTATGTAGTTTTAACCAGTGTCACCCCAATAAGTTCAATAAAAAAGAAAAACTATTCTAAAATTTAAAAACAAATACAGTGAAGACTGCGTGGCTCAGTGGTTGAGCATCCACCTAGGATCCAGCCGATGCCCGGGTTGTGGGCTCGATCCCCAGCAGGGGGCGTGCAGGAGGCACTTGATCAATGACACTCTCGTCATTGATGTTTCTCTCTCTCCCTCTCCCTTCCTCTGTCTGAAATCAATAAAATATATTATTTAAAAAAATAATTATATAGGCTTCAAGTGCGTTCTTCCTTTAGATTTCTGCTCTGCATAGACTTAATTTTTTCTGCAAGGATTTTCCCATGGGATTTTCCCCCCATGTACCCAAGAATTCACTCATCTCCTGAGTGTTTACTGAATATAGATAAAGTGAGTCTGTCCCTTCCCATTTGCTTATGGTTTCTTGCCAAGAGTTGATACAGCAGCCCAAAGAATGCTTGCTAAATCACTAACAAGGAAAGAAGTCTCTACTCTCTGTGACTTTCAGATACTGTGTGACATTCAGGTCACATTTGTAAATGTGACCATATTGCCTGTTTTCCATGGTGGCCTGGTCCAGTCCTGCCTAACAATGAAAACTTTGTTTTTAAGCATATGATAGCATTTAACAAATGCTTTATTAAGGAGAATTAGAGGCAGGAGAGGGTAAAAGTTAAGATTCTTCCTAATTTTGGTACTGTTAAGGCACTAACGAGGACAAATTGTGATGCAGAGGTCTCTTCATAATTGACCCCAATGGAGTCGTCAAGCATATGAGTGTCAACGATCTCCCAGTGGGCCGAAGCGTGGAAGAGACCCTCCGCCTGGTGAAGGCATTCCAGTTTGTGGAAGTCCATGGAGAAGTCTGCCCAGCAAACTGGACCCCAGATTCTCCTACGGTAGGTTTCTTTTCCAAAAGCCCTGGGACCCCAACAGAGGGCCCCAGGTCCTCACTGCCTCAAGTGCTTGCTGACCGGGAATATCCACAAAAGGAGCCCACCCTTGGAGCAAGGCTGCAGATGTTGAGGGAATGAGTGAAGCAGCTGAGAGGTGGGACCAGGGGTCAGGCAGGCTGTTAATGTAACTCTCATCCATGTATTTTAAAGGAAATAGGCCAGCCTTGAAAAAGAACTTTAGGGTAAACATTGATAACTTTAAACTCACTTTTGGAAACTACTGTTTTAAAGTCAGTTACCTAATGTTTGTATTTTCAGATCAAGCCACATCCGACTGCTTCCAAAGAATATTTTGAGAAGGTAAATCAGTAGATCAATCCCATGTGCACCTGCAGCGTCTCCAAAGAACCACAGCTGGAGCTCGCTTTTAGCATTTCAAAGATGATTATGTATAGAGGGCAAAAAATGATTTATGCTTGCTTTCATAAATATTACTTTAAATGTTTTGTTTTTGTAACATTGGCTAAGGCTTTTTAAACATGGTAGTTACTAACATGAGTTCTTTATTGGTAACTTCTTGCTGGCTAGCTAGTTTATAGACTGCCTAGTTCACGTGTTTCTTAGGTCATGTCTTCAATGGGAAACACTCTTCTTAGCCTTACCCGAACCTTTGTGTACACCAGTGTAGTAGAAGTGGCGAAAGCCTCTGATCAAGAGTCCTGAAATTTTCTTCTTGAATTTCTTTGTATTAAACTGATTTTTTTTTTTTAAAGTAACAAAGATCATAGTTTTTAAGTTTTTAGCATCAGCAGTCTAATTTAACTCTTGGAGTGGAGATGTATGTGATTGAAACAAATGTGAATCATGTTTTTAAAAAGACACGGTGGCAAAGTGACTTAACCGATCATGCATGTTCGTCATCCCTGGGATTTGTCGTTTCTATAGTTATTTTACTTATTTTATTTGTTAGCTGACTTAGTGTCTGCATACATGTCTAAATATTGATTGAAGGTAATTATAGAGGATATTTATTGAATCCAGGGATTGCATTTTGAAATCATTGTAATTATATTTCCTGAAGTGATCAATGTAAAGTATGTAATAAAAAAAATAAACATATTTTAAAATATTTGCATTTTTAACACTATTAATTGTGGGGTTCTAGGTTTCCTTCTAACTATATCAACACACATTTATTGGGCATTTAACTTAACTCAGGGCCCACAAAAATGAGTAAGGTGGAGGCTCCACACCCAGGGAACTCAGTTTAGGGGGCAAGAGAGAAACGGAAGCATCTTTTCATTACTTCAGTAAACCCTTGAGCACCTTCATATGCCAGGTGCTGTTTTGGAGGCACAAGAGTAAACAGAAGACGAACCTTTTCCTTCATGCACTTACCCTCTAGAGGGGGAAACACTAAACATAATAAAAATACCTAGAATGTTTGGAAGGAAAATAAATCGCAGGCCTGGGCTAGAGCAGAGAGTTGCAGGTGTTCTAGGTTGAGTTGTCAGGGAAAGAAAGCCTTGCGGGAGACAGCCTCTCCAGGCCCCTAAGATGAGGGCAATAATTGTACCTGCATTAAGGTGTTGATGAGGATCACATGAAGTGACTTGTATAAAGAGGGAGTTGGGGAGACAAGAAGGTTCTGGGTAGAGGCCCCAAGGCAAGAGCAGTGGAGGAGGGTGGTAAGGGGCCCAGAGTGCCTTAGGGGCACACTAAGGACTTTGGGTTCTATTCAGAGCAGGAAGGTTTTGAGAAAATTTACATCACCTTGTTCTAAAAGGGTCACTAGCTCCTTTGTTAAGGCTAGACCGGAGGGGTCAAAAGAGGGGAGCAGAGAGGTCAGCTGAGCTGGATTGGTGACACCTGAGGGTAGAGCCAACAGAATAATAGAGGTGTGCTAAATACTGTGGTACAATAAATGTATTCCTGGGTCATAAGGGCAACACTGAGGTGAGGAGGGGCACTTCACTCAGCTATGGGCATCAGGGAAGACTTCCTGGAAGAGGAGACAAACTTTTGAAGATTATTGAAAAGTAAGCCAGGTCTGCTGAGCAAAAGGAGCTGCAAAGTCACATGGGCGTGAAGAAAACATGATCTGGTTTCATGTTCCTGGAGGGGAAGGCAAGGGAGGGAATAGGCAGGTGAGGGTTAATGGCCAGAACAGCACTTACAATGGACCTGGGCTGAATTAGGGCTTTTACATCTTTTCTGTCACTGATCCTCAACCACACCCGGAGTGGGTACAGTTATTGTCCTTGGTTCATAGATGAGTAAGTAGACCAGGGGAGGCTGACTTGCCTAAGATCACACAACTAAGGGTGGTCTAGGTCTCCAACCCAGGACTCCTGAGGACCCCCAGAACACCCTAAACACACTGGCTTACACACACACAACCAATGAGGGTGAGGGGAAGGAGGCGGCAGGGTGAAGGAAGGTGCACATTTTTCTCCACCAGTTGCTCCTGCTTGATCTGGTTTTGCCCCAGAACTGGAGGAAAAACTTGAACCTGTTCCCAGGGCCACGGCCCTGGTGGATTTAGTGCTCTGATGCCGACGTTTCTCAATCGTAAATAAGGAGCGCCACATTTTCCATTTTCACTGGGCCACCAAAATTACGCAGCCTGTTTTGATTATCCCCAATACCTGTACACCGGACTGTAAGGGGCAACAGAAGGGCTTTGCAAGGGTAATGTCCGAAACCTTAGGTTGCTGCTGTGATACTGGGGTTCTGATAGCTGACCCCTCCCGCGCTGGAAGCGGCCTATCTACCCTAAGCGACGGAGCAGGGTGCGGGCGTCTTGATCTGCGGGAGAGGTGGGATCACAGGAATAGTGAGTGCGCTGGGACCGAGGGGTTAGAGGCGTGGGATCTGGGGGCGCTGCAGACGCGCTGGGCTCCAGGAGCTCGCCGAGGGTGGCACGGAGCGAAGGGCACGCGGGGACCCGGGAGCGCAGACAGCCGGCACTCGGGAGCCTGGGGCGCTAGCACGTGGCGACGTGAACGCCGGCGCGCCTGCC